TGAGTTTGTAAAATGCTGAGCTCCTGAGACATTCCAGAAAGTGTGCATTAGCATCAAGCTTCGGAGAAACACTCTGGGGTCTCAGCACCGCTGTCAAAGCTGAGGTGGCAATTTTGTTCCAAAACACCAGGTTTTTAATCATTCATAAACATTTTTAAAAATGCCCTTGAGGTTAACCCATTTCTCATGCTGTCGTAACATGAATGTTATTTTATTTTAAAGTAATAAATTCCAGTGTGGCATTAAAAATAGAGATGCTGAAACAGACACTGTAAAGTTGTGTTTTTTTAAAAGACCAGTTGCAGAATTACAGTAGGTACATAGCACTGGAGGGAAAAACTGAACACTGCACCATTCTTCCTTTAATTATTTTATTTCAAGTAGACATATCTGTCCACAGCACTTGCCAAATTAGTATCAGCTCTAAAATAATGAAGAAATTATCTACTGAACTTCCTAAATACAAGGGGCATGTTTAAGGAGCATGTAACTCTGGTGGAAGGACGCTCAGGCTAAAAAAATCATGCAATTTCCTAACTCTTCCAAAAGACATCATCTAACACAAGAAGGCTGAACAAGGAAGAAATGGTAAAGCTGTCGTCTTCAACTCTCTCTCTCTCTAGCTAATGAGAATTGCTCAAGTTGTCAGTCAGGAACCAAAAGCTGTCAATAACGAATGACAGAACACAGTGGCAGAAAAAGAAATTATTCTCTAATGTAAGGCTGGAATCCAAACAAATCAAAACAATTTAGTGCAATTTAGCAAGTGTTTTGTTTAAGTGCACAAAGCAACACACAAGCATCCAAAACTGGGCTATGCGCTAATTAAGGAAAGTGGTACATGAGTTTTTAACCTTTTACACAGGCATCTTGAGGTTCTGTTGCTTTCTGAGGTACTGAAAAGATCTGTTAAGACAATTTACAGAAATGACTTCAAGATTTTTTCAAGCCCATTTACGTTAAGACATCTGAAGCAGAGCATAAGAGAGAGAGGAAAATCTCAAGCATGCCCCTAGCATCAGCCTCAGCCAATTACAATTTGCCCTGTCCAATTAAGAGTGACCTCTAAACAACTGGAGTTCCGGTTTGTTAATCCCCCAATTAAATATTGCAACCCTAATCTGAATGAACAGTGCTTAAGACACAAAATCTGTTATTACGAAGGTAATGCTTTTTAACAAGCGGTAATTATTCCTACAGTTGTCCACATAAATGGGGATACACAGCAACTGGTACAAAGTTTTCATCTTGAATTCGCGGTGTATTTCACCCTGATGGCAGCAAACCAACACTCCAAAACAGGCAAGTTTACAATATCAGATATAATTAAAAATGGATTGGTTCTGTAAGGGACAAGCTAGAAGTGGTGGTACTTTTGAAAGAAAGAAGTCCACATGGTATCAGTAAATAAAGAACTTTATTTTAAACTGAAATTCAATTTAATGTTTCTTGTTCGCAGCCGCCACCTAGAAAAGAAAAGAGAAACAAGGTCTGCTTTAGAGAAACATGCAAGGAAATCACAGGTTCTGCTTGGTTCAAAGGCACCCGTAGTCAGAAACAGCTCCCGTATTTCTTCCTACAAAGAAATGTGGTCTAAACTCAATTGGCCACACCTATGGCATGATCAGTGTTGACTGTAATTCATATTCTTTGCATGGGTCCATTTTCTGAGTGGGATTTTGATGAAGGATCACAAAAACCTTTCACAGCAGGCAGAGGTGAAATATGACTCTTCTGAACATTCCTAAATCTTCTGGCAGTGCACACTCATCCAGAGGCAGGAAAAGTGCAGCCTACAGCTGGCTGGACAACTCAATGATTTAGGTATTTAGCTATAGAGGCAGAGGTGGGAAGTTCAATTCCCCGCTGTGCCTCCTGTGAATAATACCAGCCTGTGTAGCTTTGGGCAAGCTGCACAGTCCCAGGGTAATCCCGGAAGAAGGGAAGGGTCAACCACTTCTGTGCATTCCCTATGGGGAAAACCATGAAAATGGTCACCATAACACATTATTACTAGTAGTAGTAGAGACTGGAAGCACCCCCAGCACATCTTGTAACTCCTGCCATACCGCTGCTAAATTTGCCACTGATATTAGCAGCATGCACGGGCACAGACAAAAAACCCAACCATAATGACTCCCCTTCCTGGCATTAAAAGATTTCTACTTTTCTGTGTGTAATGAAACAGAGGACAGGGCGCAGCCCAACAGATTCAGGAAAGAGGTAACAGAGACCCAACCATTGCTCTAACATCTTTTACACACATTAAAAGGTGCACAACTGTCACTTAGAACTATGATGTCAGATTCCCACAATGTCATCACTGTACAACTATAACCAATAACTAAAACATGAGACTAGAAGAAGCAAGATTTCACTTATGTATTTAATCTGAATAATGGTAAGAAGAGCTATTTATCAAATATATATGACTTCTCATTGTTTAGAGATGATCCAACTAATAACTTCCCTTTATTTGTAAAAGCAACCATTTGTGAGAAATAATTCACCTGCAGAACATTGTAAATGTCAATTTAGGGCTTGTTAATGCACCATCATTTCAGTACTTTATCTGATGGCGCTGGGGCTGTTAAGGGTTTTACTGGAGACAGATCATCAAACACAAGCTTAAAGAACAAATCTTTAGCTGTGAAAACATACATCACTCTTTCTAATGAGATTTACAGAAAGTAAGGTGGTGAGAGGTTCACTTTAGGCATCAAGTTTTGTTCAAACCCTCTTGAAAGTTGCTGATTCCTGTTCACTTAACTCCTTATCTATTTAATTTAGCTCCTCTTGTATAGCATTGAAGAGACTGCGCAATTCTTCAGGAAATAAAAGCTGCTTGCATTCAAAGTGTCTGAGAAAGTCTATCACAACTTGGTTCAATCATTCCTCCTCCCTCATCCTCCTCCCACTAAACCTCTTCTACACTGACGGAACAGAACACTGATACAGATCAGTAACATCACTGTGAGACTGCCACGAAGCAGAGCCAGACTGAAGAAAGACCAAGAAGCATCATTCTTGGGACAAGGCCACAGGGAAATAAGAAACTGCTTACTGCAGGGGAAGGCAATGCTCGGGGAACTGAAAACAGCAAATATGTATATTTCACAGACCAAAAAGTAGCTCCCTACTGAGATGTAACTCATAATAAATCCACACATTTCGGTGTCCTATGCAATTGGAACTGCCCAAAGCGAGTAAGTTGATAACTGTATTCTAGGCAAAGAGAAAGGGAAAATCTTTCTAAAGATTTCTGGCCTTAGTTCCTGATAGCAGGTGAAAAAACACACACCCTATTTTAAGACTCTGTACACAATCAACCCTGAATGCTCACTGGAAGGACAGATCCTGAAGCTGAGGCTCCAGTACTTTGGCTATCTGATGAGAAGAGAAGACTCTCTGGAAAAGACCCTGATGTTGGGAGAGAGTGAAGGCAAGAGGAGAAGGGGACGACAGAGGAGGAGATGGTTGGACAGGGTCATCGAAGTGACCAACATGAATTTGACCCAACTCAGGGAGGCAGTGGAAGACAGGAGGGCCTGTCGTGCTCTGGTCCATGGGGTCACAAAGAGTCGGACACGACTAAACAACACCACAATGCTACAGAATAACGTAACTAATTAATTGCACGCTATCAGTTATGACTTACAGCAATCCTTTTCAGGGTTTTCTAAATAGAGAATACACAGAAGTAGTTTACCATTCTGTTCTTCTGGGGGTGCTCTGGGACTCGACAACTTGCCGAAGGCCACAGCTTGGCTATTTCCCCAGGAGACATAGTGGGGAAGCGAAATCCCAACCTGACTCTGTAGCCAGACCCTTAAAATTACTGAGCTAGCCACTAACATAACTACTGTTCCAGAATGGGAGTAAAGAAGTTACCTGTCCAGCAATCCTGTCCAAATCTCTCTGTCCCTGAGGAGTAAGTTTGCGACCTCTGAAAGAAATCAGTGATTACATCAGCATTTTTTAAGAAAAAGGATTTGTTATTACTACAGACTACTCTTTGTGTAGATTACACTCAGTGAGCAGATTAAGGCATGCTTATCCCTCACAGCTTCAACTATCCCCCACATTAAGCTGAGGCTTTGACAACTCAACAAACCTTTTTTCAATCTGCAGTTTCCCTGCAAACATGCCATATTGATATAAGTATTGCAGCAAAACCAGTACTGTATTTGACAAATGTATTTCAAAAAAATGTAGCCATCTCCATTTCAACAACAAATGCAAAACAAACAAACAAAATATGTAGCAATGTAGGCTTTTGTATAATGTCAACTTTGTCAGAAATAAGAGTCAGAATACAGAGACTGTTCTACGAGAAGTGAATGCGACAGCTTTTTAGAGGCATAACAGTCTTGCTGGATTAAACCACAGGACTAATTACTTTTGCATTCTGTTCCCAAAAGGGATCAATCAAATACTTCCCTGAAACCTACATTCTGGGCAAGAAGGTACCCATCCTATATTAAAGTACAGCTTGACAGCAATGTGTATTCAATGAGAATGGAAGCTCCCTATGGCCTTACCGGGGAAGTTCTGTTCGACGTTTCCAATTATGTCATCAAAAATGTCATTTATTAATAAGAGTTTTTGGAAAGGCTGGCTTGCTGCCATGATACACAATAATATTCCTTCGTGCAAACATGCAACTGCGCTACTATATCTGTTAGCAACTCACCCATCCTGGTCTTTTTCTACCATCTTGAGTCCTTCCAAAGCCTGAAGCACCCTCCTAGCCACGCTCTTAGATCCTCGGCTGAAGTGGCTAGGCATCACGCCGTTGCGCTGGCGGCCTCCATAGATCTTGGTCATGGAGCCGACTCCAGCACCACCTCGGAGGTATAAGTGGCGGGCGGTAGAGGCTGCAAATGAAATGAACTGTCACTTCCTGACACTCTCACCTGGTGATTTCAAACAAAGCAATTTGGCCTAAGTCTTGCTAGAGTTAAATACAGATATTTATAAGGCAAAATTCACGGATCACAAAAAAGCAGCTTTGCATTATGTCTGGCTGCATTTAGTGACAAGAATGATTCCCTTGTATGAACAGCATGAGACACAAGATGGAAGTGGCCGTTTCAGCCACGTAACATCTGTGAAGTGCAACTATTCATCTTCTAATCAATGAAGACCATCACAATCAAAGTCTCTAAGCTCTCATAGGTCACAATGCTGGCCTCAAGCCCCTCCAGACTGCTCCTGTTAATTGAGAAACCAACTGAAAATGGCAAAAAAAAAAAAAATTCAGCAGACTGCTAATAAAGACATTAATTTCTGTCTGTCTGAGCCCATCTAAAAGCATTAATGTGACAACCACAGAGAAACAACAGGACGCCACACATTGTTAATACCATTGAAAATAAAAAGGCAATAAAATCCTTCGAGTTATATCTAGAACTGGCCTACAGAAAACAGCATGGAGGACTGAATGCTTTTTCACCACCCCAGTTACATTTGTACAGAAACACCTGCTTTCTCTTCTTCAGCTGCCTTTCATGCGCAAACAAAACAGAAACAGCCTGAGGCTTTATGCCTGCAAGCCAAAAGCTGACCTCCTAACCTTTTATTTCACTAGAAAGGAAACAGCAAAACTAGGACTGGGAATATTGTGCTTAAAAGACACTGCCACGGCTGTACTGCATGGGAGATGTGCGTCAGACTTTAAGGTTTCCCTGCAAAATGCTCACCCCAGGCTTGTTTAAAAAAAATCTATAGACCATGAAAAGGACAGAAAATTGGTTTGTGTTATTTACTGTGAATGCAAACAGATGCACACCTTTGAGAAAGCCTTTCAACACCACGTGATAACCCAGCACAAAATTTCCACGCAGTGCAGCTTTCAAGCTTTCCCACTGTTGCAAGACGCTATCTAAAGTCAAGAACAAAACTATCTTCGGCAGGAGGAGGACTCAAAGGAAGAAAATCAAGACAGATTACTTGGCTGGCTACCAACAGCAGTGGCCTTCTACCAGCAAAGCCAAGAATATAAACTGGGGGTGGGGTGGGGTGGGGGAGGATGCCATATTACCATATCAGCTTCCAACACTGTTACTGAACAGATGGGTGGCATAGCCATCTTTCAACAGTCCCTCAGATTATGGGGGAAGAAAAGGAAAACCTATTTCTCCCCCAGACATTTCCAGCGCTGTAATAATCTAAGTTCTCAATAAGACACATGGGCTATCAAGAACTGCCCAACGTGACAGCTCAGTAAGTGACCTGAATCAAATGTGAAAACGGCTGGCATTTGTGCACTAAGAAATCAACTATTTCTGCTGAGCAAACGGAAAGCCTGATACTAGAATAAAAATGCAGCAGCGCAATTATGCATAACTACCTCAATTACGTGGAACTAAAAGTTACAAAATGAAGAGGAAGGTGAAAATGAAACACAGCCACCTTTTAAGGAGAAAGGCAGGGTAAAAATATTTTAAGTAAATAAACTATCCTATTGCTATCCTGTGTGCTCTCTGCATAACAGAAAGGGGTGCAACATTATTTAAAATATTCTTTATCTCACCTTGTCCTTAAAAAGGACCCAAGCAGACATTCTTCCTTATGCCCCAGTCCTGCACTGATGTGCCAGCCAAAGGTGGAAAGATAACACCCTAATTCTAAGTGCAACATGCACACCAAGCTGAAGCATATCCTATGTGTGCTGAATAAATCAAACACTTTTAGAAGTGTTGTGATGTTCAAGATTGTGTTTAAGACAATCAATCAATTTAATGGAAGGGCCAAAGACAAATACTTTTCCGTCACCCTCATGAAACATCCAAGCTACAGTGTAAGGGGTAACACTGGCTTGCTCAACAGGATTATCCTCAACTCAGATTTTTAGATTAACTTTAATAGGTCACGGGCAAGCACAATACATATGGGAAGTGTCAATATTATTGTTTGCGAAGTGCATCATACACTTGCTGCATAAAAAAAAAGTTAACTTCCCCCTTATTTTCATGAATCAGTTGACTAACCAGGGTGTACTTGTATCAGTTCAAGCCCTGGCGTCTGCCTACAGGTAACTGTGCCATGGACAGTCTTGTCATTTCTTACACATGCACTGCTGACAGTAACAATCATGGAAGTGTCAGATCAAAGAATTGGAGACCCTGGAGGCACCCAGTGGCTTACCGGCTCTGGTGTAGAACCAGTTATCATCATATGGAGCCAATTCTTTGTGTTTGGCCAGCTTGACTGTGTCCACCCATTCAGGTACTTTCAGTTTACCTGACCTGCAAAAACAGTTCACAGATCAGTTAACATCAAATGAAGAGGAAGCATCAACTTTACACAACTAAGGTGTCACTTTTACTTACAAGTAGTAGAGTCCTCTGTAATGTCTCTACACAGGAGACTTGTGTTTTCACCTACCCACCCGAAGAACTCAAAGCTGAGCTTCCTAAGATCAAGTGCTAGATTCCCAATGGCCTAAATCAGTGGTTCCTAAACTTGGTTAACTGCAACTCCCAGAAATCCCTTCAGCACAAGAAGTAATGAAGTCTTCTGGAAGTTGCAGTCCAAGAACACCTGGGTTACACAAAATTGGACACCACTAGCCTAAATGAACAGTTCTAAGCCCCGGGTCCAACTTACTAAAAAGAAAGGTATACTATGCACAGTCATCTTAATCAATCATTCAAACCAACTATTAATCTATAGAAGTGTGGCTATGAATACACTACCAATAAAGACGATAATAAGGATTCCACTTAATAGATGTCACATACATCAAAGGAAGAACTCACTAAAGGCATTACCTCCTTTAGGCAGCACATTAACTTTTTCTATCTGAAATATTAATGGCTTTTCTATTAGATGCAATACATTTTTTAAAAAAACCCTGCTGACCAATTCAGGGTATTTTTAGATTGCTTACTCTACCAAGTGTTCTAGTCCTAGTTCCACATCCTAAAGCAGTGGTTCTTAACCTTTGTTACTCGGATGCTTTTGAACTGCAACTCCCAGAAACCCCAGTCAGCACAGCTGGTGGTGAAGGCTTCTGGGAGTTGCAGTCCAAAACTCCTGAGTAACCCAAGGTTAAGAACCAGTGTCCTAAAGCACCAGGGTCATAACAGAGGAATAGCATGTTCTTAATACTGAATATTTACCAGAGGACGCCCAAGTTTAAATGGCCACACAATTGACGGCAGGTTATGACTGCTCTGGAGGCTGCCTGTAAGACCTTGTTTCTGCTGTCTAAATTTATTCTGCAACTGACCTGGTCTATCAGGTCTGAATCTTAGCTCTTAACTGCTAATTCAGGGAACTTACTTTTTGAGGAAGGCTGCAAGGGCCCTCACAAACTCCTGCTGATTCACGTCTTTTACAGTTACGCCAGGCATCTGAAGAAGAGCAAAACTCAATATATAACATGTCAGTTTAAAAGGTTTATTTATTTATTTATTTTATACCCCGCCCATCTGGTGTTACGACCACTCTAGATAACACCTGCAGTTACAAACCTTTGGAGAAGTTGAATCACAGCTGAAGGGAAGCACATGACCACTCTAGATAACACAAACCTTTGGGGAAGTTGAATCACAGCTGAAGGGAAGCACACTCTTACCTCTGCTACCAGCCAGCAAACACTTCCCTCCACTTTCTAGGCATATCAGAACAAGGGGAAGGCCAACTTGGAGCAAACTACTGATGCTGAAAGCTTGCCTCTACCTTCCTTATCAACAATGAGACTGCTCTAACTGCCAGTGCTCCTGGGACTGCAGAGTAGAAAGGCACCCTGCTGGCTTCTACCACCAGCCAGGAGGTTAAAGGCTCCTGCAACAGAAGGAACAGCCTGGCCTTGCTGCTCAGACAATCAAGGCACATCTGTTCGTAGGCTTGCTTTCTTCTTCTCTTCGTGATCTTTCTCTCTCTTTTTGGATCATTCTGTAACTGTAAGCCTGCAAGCAGGAAACTGTAAAATTTAGGTATTTTAAAGTGTATAATAATAGTAATATAAATCTGGGACCAGGGTTTGCTTGTTCCTTTATAAACATCAAGGATGCTACTTCCATGTTTCTGTATTTGCACCTATGCATATGTACAGGCAATATAAATCTGGGACCAAGGATGCTATCTCTGTATTTGCACCTATGCATATGTACAGGTAAATGTAAACAACATTTATTTTCTTTTTAGAGAAAAGGGAGAGGGTTTCCACTGAGGAAAAGTGTGCTTTTGTATTTATATTTTGGGATGTTAAGCCAGGATGCTGCAATTCTTCCTTTAAATATATAAATGATCTTCTAAACTGGAGTGTGTACAGCTGTAGTTAGAAAAAGAAGCAAGGATACAGTTCTAACTTAGGGCATATGCATTACAACTTTAAAAACACTTTATTAATGAGAAATTTTTACATAGCTTCCTCAGTGTTTAGCATCTCAGGCTTAAACCTGGCCCGTTTGCATAGTCTTTAGTCAGCTCTTTAAAGAGATACGCCATATACTCAACCGAAAGCAAACTGACATCAATGGCAATTACTTGCATACAAACGAACATGGGCTTAATGGGAAATCACACAGAACACTGTGGGAATTAAGGAGCAAATATACCTAAGACTGGAATGTATTAGTATTAGCAGCCCTGAACTCTTAGGAACAGGTCAAGATCGTACCTACGGATTTACCTGGACCTTACCCAGCACACCTCTTTGTCCCTGAGCCTATTATATTCTGGTATATTTCAGCATGCAACGAGGTGAAATTTATGTATGAATATGAAATACAGCAGATTCCCCATATCTTCACCTCTTCTATTCGAAATGGAAGCTGTTCTCTTTTTATAATGGTTTCATGAATGTATTAAAGGCGATTGGTCGATATTAAGAGTTAAAAGGCACTTCATTTCCTTGAAATTCAGCTAAGCCATAAAGCGCATTTTTATGACACCCAAAATCCAAAGTTGGGCTGTTTTATTCATTCGAGCCAGCCAAAATAAAACTGAAATATATGAAGGATAGCATCAGCAGCAAAAGTAATGCAAGAGAAAAAGGCAACCAGGAGCGATCAGCCTCTTTCCCCCCCTTGAGCCATGCCACCGGTTCCCTCCCACCCACATGGCCTCATCCTGGCCAGCAGAAGAGGAACGGCCGGCGTCACAGAGGCAAGACAATACGGCTCCAAAACGCTGGGAGACGAGAGTCGAGGCCTCCCCGGGTTAGTCGGGCTACCAAAATACTCCAGGCCGGGGCTTCGGGCCTAAACGGACCCTTCCCTCCACTCACCGTGCTGCCGCCTTCGCTGTCCCGGGCAGGAAAAAGAGAATGCACGGGGCTACCCACCCGCTACTCACAAGGCTCCAAGCATCGCGAGACTTAGCCGCCCAATCCTGAACCGCAGTCTGAGGCGGCCACCCAATCTCTCGCTGCGTGAGGAAAAAAGGGCGGGGCCTCAACGAAGGACCTGAGCCGCCCGCGAAGACGGAAATGGTGGAAACGTCTTGCCCGCTTAAGGGCGGAAGTTAGGCTCGCCCTCCTTTTGAGGCCAGTTTCCGGAGGGAAATGGCATCTCGCTCTTTACTCCAATACCCAGAATCCCTCGCGAGGATGCTGGCTAAGGATTCTGGGAGCTGTAGTCCAAAAGTAAATTTCCCAGGCTTTCTCTTGAAGGCGCTTTGTTCAGAAGCAAAGGGGACCCATTCTTTCCATCCTAGAGTCAAATTTATTTGAATGCTTACTCTATTAAATTTAATTTAATTACTGTAAAGAAGCATATGCTTTGATTGGCTATAGACCACTTAATATATTAATTAGATTTTCCTCACCTATATTATTGCCTTTTCAGTTCCATCTCTTTCCATTTTATGTCACCTCTATTTCCTGTCCTAAACCGATGTTCTACTGCAGCTAAAACATTTCCAGTTGTATAAAGGGGTATTGATATAATAGATAAATACATAAATATTAACTTTCTTAGAGGTTCCAGTAGGTTAGAAGGGAAGGACTTTCCTTTGCAGAAGATAAACTGATATAACATCACTGAGGCATATTTTGTCCTTCAGTTTAATTATAATGGATTTAATTGTGCTGTTCATCAACTTCTGCAGACTAGGGTGGTTAATGGACCCATTATTTCCCCTCACTCTCCTCAGAATCGTTTTAAACGCTGATATCAATCAGGCTTCTGTTCCGTTCCCTGGTAAGGAGTCCAGTTTTAGTATCAGGTTGTATATTTTTATTAGAAGCAATTTCATATTTGTGTTGTTTAAGGGTTCCCAGCTATATGCCATCCAGTTCCAGTAACTTAGTTTTTAATTTGTCAGTTAGCTAAAGAGCTGCATTTTCTATCTCTATGTGTTCTGCACGTCTTCACACATCCATTCATCTGTGGTTCGCAACTGGATATTCACCCAACCTCTCCAGTAAAGCCTGATGCAAATAAATAATTTCCTTCTCCTACAACTTCCTTATCTTTCAGCAGTCTTTTCCCACTTCCATTATTTATGCTATCAGTGCCTCCCTGGATGGTTTCCTGCATTTGATAAATTTTTTACTAGTTTCAGATCACTTTCAAAAGACCCATTTATGCTATCAGTGCCTCCTTAGATGGTTTCCTGCATTTGATAATTTTTTTACTAGTTCCATATCACTTTCAAAAGACCATAATGGCCATATTCCTGGACATATTATAAATCCATCCATCCATCAGACTATAATGACCACCTTATGTGAGTGTAACTCCCTCTTTCAGTTCCAACCCTGGATGAGTACACAAATACATCATTTTGCATTTCATTAGGCATCTCTTTTGGACCTGCCTTTTCATGAAGTATATCCAGTTTATCACAGCAAGTTTTCAAACTCTGTGAATTTAGCAGCTCTGATTTCATGTGAGCCAACTCAAGATGTTTAATGTTGGATAAGAGGTGCTGGTTTTGTTCATCTCTGTCACTAGACGTTTTCGCCTTCGTCAACTCAAATCCCTTTTGGATTCCCTAGCAACAGTGGAAGGAGAAACAACAACAACGTGAACATCTTTTGGAAGGCATCTTGTAGGAAGAAACACATTCAGTAAAGAAATCAGGGCAACAAGTTGATACCATCCAGTCCCAAGCCACCAGAACACTCCTGCAGCTGCCTTCCCTGTGGAAAAAAAGGTTTCCCAAACAGTCCTTGCTACCCTTTTAGACCTTGATGATTGCATGTGGGCTGTTGTGTGTGTTTCAAGGTGTTTCTTCGCCTTACAGTCATCACACAAGGATTCCCCATTCATGCCCAGGTGGGGATCTTCCCTGAGGAATTCTTTTACAGTACATTCATGCTTCCACAGTAATCAGTGTGAGTGGACTTGTGTTTTTGGCTTCTGTCCCTGGAATAAATTCTGGAGGATGGCATATGAGGAGTTGAGTTTGCTGTAAGGACCTCCTTCTGCTCAGAAAGTATACTGCAGTCATTGCATGTATAGCCGTTTGTGACTGACAGCTCTCAGAACACTCCTGTCAGTCATGCCAGAGCTCTGATGTGGGAGCCAATGACATGATAGAAGGGGCAGAACCAGGGAAATAAAAGGAGGGGGGGGGAAAGACAGTTTAGGCATTTAGGGTCATGGTTGTGTTAGAGAGAAGAGTGACAGAGAGAGAGAGAGAGATAGGAATAGGACAAGTCTTGGAAAGTTATGTGGTTAAGATTGGAAAGAGTTAAAAGTGCTAAGAAATAAATAGTTGAATATATAAATACTTTGATTAAAGTGAATCTACATAAGCAAACATAAATGTAATCTAAGCAATGGTTATTGAATGAATAATAAAATACCATCCATGATTTTCTTTATATGATTCACCTACAAACCCATAAATAAACATTGTTATATTGGACAACACTGATCTCATAGTCATACTTGGTACAGAGAGGAACATATCCTCTGGTGGCAGCGAAAAAGGTTGAAAAGTACATGTCGTTCCCGAAAGGGAAACTGGGTGTGTAGAAAAACAAACAGGGGAACTGGAGGTGTGTGAGACACCATTGCTCAATGGACTCTGATTCTCAGCTGCTGTTATGTCCCCATTGGCCTGAATCACTGTAGTACCTTCACCTTTGAGGTCACCGTCGTCATCCAGACCCCAGGAATGATCAACATCTGTCTGCTCCTGTATTGAAGACTCATCCAACAAAGTTGACATAAAGGATCCATCACTTGTGTGGCGACTGAAACTACTGTGGCTTATAATGGAAAAGCTGGGCACATTTTTTTCTCGAGATGTGGCTTACAGGGCCAGACTGTTTCACCACATTTCTACATCATTTTGCAATTTTTGGTGACTGTTCTACAAAAGCTTTCTTGCCTGCACAGGAGCTACTGCTGCCGCCACTGACATAGATGTTTTCATTTGGGGCATCCTTGGCTGTACTACACACCGAAGCAGAAGAATATAAGCTGCGCTTTCACATTCTTGGAGAATCAAGGACAGGATCCAATTTGTTTTCTGTCTCAAAAGCCAGAGCAGTCGAGGAGTAACTTGAACTGTTTGCACATCCTTCGCCGTCTGTAGAGTGCAAAAAGTAGTACAGAGAAAACACAACATTTCTGTTCTTCCCACAACGTGATGGATAGCAACTCGTTCAGTTTTGGATGCCCACATTGTCCAGCTCCGTCACTGGACCATTGAAGTGCTCGGGACACAAAGTCTAATCTTTCTGAACAGTTTCGCCAGATTCTCTAATAATTCATCTGTAACTTTTTCATCTGATTTCTCCAGCGTCTCCAAGCATGGATAAATCAGCAGCACTGTTTTGTTGATTGTGACTGAAGAACAAGAGGGCTCCTGAATAAATAAATGCTCTTGCTTCTGCATGTTTGCCTTCTGACATGTACCTGAAGAACAGCGTCTGGCACATCTGGTGCGCCTCGTAATAATCGCAGGTGACCTTCCAGGAGCAGTGTTCTGCCGCCATGACTCAGTGGGGAGGGCCCACATTTGATAGATTTTTGAAAAATGTTCAGTGTGTGAAAATAAGCCCTAGTATGATTTTTCAGGATGCTCATAATATAAGCCATACCCCCCCCAAAAAAATAAGTCCCAGTTAAGTGAAATCCCACCCTCCACCATTGTGCAGCATTGTGCAGCAATCAGAAGAAGATGACATGACTATATTTGAATAAATGTAGATTATTGTACATGAAAAAAAAATCCCCTAAAAATAAGCCCTAATGAGTTTTTGGAGCAAAAATTTATATAAGACCCTGCCTTATTTTCGGAGAAACACAGTATCTCAGCAAATCCAGCCTGCTTAAGGAGTTGTTGAGTTATCCACCCTTAAAAGCCAGTGTGATACAGTATAAGCATATAGTGTCAGTCTATCAATTTGGAAGACCTAGGTTCAAATCCCTGCTTGACCATAGCATCTTAGTGGGAGTACTGGTGAAATCACTCCTTGACCATAGCAGCTTAGTGGGAGTACTGGTGAAATCACTCCTTATAATAGCTTACATATGTTGGAAACCCTACTAGGTTTGCTGTGACTCAGAAGACACATAAAACACAACTAGCTGTCAGCTGACAAAAGAGCCACACGTCACACGAAGGGTGCTGAAATGGACATTCAAACAGCTTCAGGTGCTTACGTCTCATTGAGAAACAACTCCCGTCAGCCTTACACAATTTAGTCAGCGGTGAGGGAAACTGGGTCCATCAGAATCTGCCCTGCCTTTAAGAGTAGCGACACCCTCTTTCTTATAGGCAGCTGCAAAAGGCGGATATGCAACAAGGAAAGCTTGCAGATCAATCTTCAGTTGTTGATTTATACTTGTTATGCAAGTCTAAAAAGGACATGGTTTCTGTCAGGGAAAAAAGCAACAGGGAACAAACATGTGACACAATGAGGACCCTGATTTGGAGCTGCGAGAGATCATAGGCCATGTCAGTCATTGTTAAATCCAAAGATCAATAATGAAAAGCCACCTTTCTCTGCCAGGTGCTGTTTCCCTGTTTTATTTTTTAAGGTGGGTCTTTTCTTTCTTCCTTCCTAAAGTATTTTCTTCCCAAAAGGGGGGGGGGGGAGGTGACTTTTATTGCACTGAATTTTAAACAGAATCAATTTTATTAGCTTTATTTAAGGTTCTAAAAATACTGAGGGCCAAGCCATAACCTTTGTTTAAATAATGGGTTTATTGACGTTCACTGATGTCCATTATGTGCTTTAATGCCACAATATTCAATAGCTCCTGCGCAGTTGAGCTCCCTCATTCTCGATAATTGCTTTGTGGGTGGAAGTGATTTTCCTATTGCCGTCTTAAGTGGGCCTCTTTCTATCGCACTTAGCCGACAGCATCCAGAGGTAGACAAAGCAATGCAGACGGCAGCAGACAAAGGAAACAGGAGGGACAGACACA